TAGAAAGTTTTTTCTTTCTATTTTTGTACTTTCTATTTTCTCTTCTTTCTATTTTTTCTTCTTTTTGTTTTCTTTTCTTTCTATTTTTCTTTCTTTCTATTTATTGCAGCAGCTTACTGTATAAATACGCCCATTGGCAATAGAATGAAACATATCAGTATTCTACCATTCCAAAACAACTACAAAGTAATATAAAGGAATATCCATACTCATTGACATGATAATGAAAGACTGTGCAGGATATCTGTTGGTTTCTGTCTCGTTATATTCGTTTTCTTTTTCATGCACGTAAGATACTACCTATCACCCAATAATCTCCTTCCCATTTACTTCATATATTTCAGAAAGGCTTTCCTCATTTTTTTTTGTTGCAGGTATAACTTACCAGCTATTATGAAAATCCTTTTAAAGGCTTCCTTTCACATTGTCATGGAAGAGAGGAAAGTTAGTGTGGAGATGTACAAGTGCAGCAGTGTTGTGGGCAATCTGAGAAGATAGGAAGACTAGAATATTCCATGCCACAACATATACAAAGGAAGATGTCAGGGAAAGCATAATAATCAAGTTAGTGCGTTGGGTTAACACTATAAATTTTCACTCCTTTTCCATAAATGATATCCATAGGGACTAGCAAAGGCCATTACTTGGTATGATGGTAAAATCTCGGGCTGTTAAGCGTGAGAACACAGGTCCAAGTGTGAGAGTATCCACTTTGTGCAAAAAAAGAAAAAAAAAATCCAAATGTGAGGACTGTATCCAGTCTAGCAGTACGTGGAAAACTCATCCAAAGCAAGACAATCTCCTTTACTTCAATGGAACCCTCTATTTGGGTTCCGTAGGATTGGGGGATTCTACAAGAGCTGAAGTATGTGCAACACCATGAGAATTGAGGTTGAGCAGATCACTTCATGAGAAATTTAATTGTGGATGGGGAATTCTAAAGTGATAGTGCACTAGCTGAGAAAAGATAGTGAGAGCTTATGGAAATTATAGAAATGCTATGAGGGAAATAAGGCAGATGGAAAGGGATTTGACAATCACCTATTCATGGGTTAAAAGAACAACAAGCTTGTTGGCTAATGTGATGGTAAACAAAGGGTAAATAGGGCTCAAATGTTTTGAGGAGAACTTTTAAAATGATCTTTTATATCAAGAAAGAAAGGAATAGGTAGGGATAGCTAGTCTATATTTTGGGGTGCTTGATACTTATTGCACATATTCATTCTTTAAACATAATCAATAAAAATTAACCTCTTACCAATCAGAGAAAAGGGAATATCAAGAAAGTTAAAGGAAAAACAAGCATATAATCTTTAAACTTCGAGGGTGATAAGGTGTTGTGGTGTCTGATCCTTTGTGGTCCTCTATTAGATAGGATTTAAACAAATGCCTAAATTCCAGAAGCATTGTTTTTCTTTTTCATGTTTTTGTTCAAGATGCTCTCTCTGGATTGTTGATCGCCCCAGGTTTCTCAGGGATGGAGATGGAAGGGAAATAATGGGTGGTAATTGGCTGGAAGAGTGGAGGGGAAGATGGGCTTTGGTATTTATGGCACTTTATTTGAGAGGAGAGACTTTTGGCATTCAGGGTGAACATCTCCATGCTAGACCTGTCAATGAGCCAGCTAATTCTCCAGCTAGGATGGAGTAGGCAGAGATGTGATGTACAGGGGTCAGGCCCCTCCTTTGTAGATTTTTGTTTGTATAGGTTGGCTGAGTGGATCAGCCCATGATTTTTCTTTTTCTTTTTCATTTTCATGTTTCTGACTTTCTGGTTAGATACCCCTTCTTTTTTCTGCATTTTAATGAATTCCGATAGTAGCTAATAGAAAAAAAAGTCTCAACTCTCAAGGTTAGCCAAACAAATGGAAGAAATAAAATTATTGAGATGCATGGGATTATGGGATGATTCCAAATTATTGGATTTGTTAACTTGACCATGCAGAATTGGGTGCTGATAATACCATTTATACAAATAACTTTCCCTTCTTGGTATGGTGAATTGAGATCTTCAATTACTAATACTGTTCAAATATTTATGCAGATTGTACATGGAAATCAATCTTGTGCTGCACATGTTATCTCTTTTCTTGTTCAAGCTTATGGAAGAGCATTGCCAGTCTATCTTCCTGTATATTTCATTCCTGCACTAATAGTTCACCGTCAAGGCCTTCTGAAGAGGTATTAAATCTGTTTTGATATCCTTTTTGATATATACTATTCTCCAGTTGTTTCTATTTGCAGCAACTTAGTTGGATGGATTCCTATTACCTAGCTAAAATTCCTACTGTAAAACTTATATTAATGAAGAATTCAATATAAGTAAGCTTAAAAGGAAATCTAAGCAACCAGGTATGATGATATCTTCTGCATGGAAGATGGTTCTCCTTGTAGGGGTTACCTTTCTGTCTTGAGTGGTCCCTGGCATCAAGCTAGATACTGCGCATTCACTCAACTGGTTTAAAAACACTACGATCATCACAAGGGAATATCAATATGAAATCAACATAAGTATAGGATAAGGTGTTTACTAATAACTATTCAATGAGTATTCCTGTGAACTTTTCTTTGTTAGATATGTTATTGCTGGGGACTTTGGTACTGATCTTGGTTAGACCTCCTTTCGGCACTGAAACTATCTGCTCTTTTTCACTATTCATAGTTGAATGTACTTAAGTTTCCTAATCACATAGCCTAATCTTTTCTTCTGCCCCCCCCCCACCCCTTTTTTTCTGTTTTTAACGTGAAGTTTCTTCTTTTGCCAATATAAAAAGATAATGAGATAAAATTTGGATTGATATTTTGTTTGGAATGTGTTTCTGCTATTTTTCTTTTTTTTATTAGGGGTGCAACTTGAGTGGGCTTGGGTTGAGATTTTGTTAAATCTTGAAGGGTCCTGTCACAAGGGCCTGCTTGATGCGGTGTAAAATGTTCAACTCAGGTACCTGAGTTGCATCCCTATTTTAATTCATTGTACTTACTTAACTGTCCCTTTTCATGACATTGTTTTATCCCCTCTCATCTATATGCAGTCCTTATACAATTTTGGGGAAGGGTCTCCTTGGCACAGCAAGATCGAGCTTGTTCCTTTCTGTATATTGTACATCAGCCTGGTTAGCATTTCATTTTGCTTATAATGCTTTGATCCAGTTGCTATCTTACAATGGAATTCCTATAAATGGTTGTCTTCATGAATACAGGAAAATATATTAAATTTCTGCATTTTTTTGCTACTATTAAACTTCTGCAAATTGGAGTTTGTAATTTTGACAATTTCATTTTTCAATTATTAACTATATGAACTAAATAAATGTTATTTTTTCATTTAAATGAAGTCCTCTCATTTTTGCATTGCTGCAAGGCAAAATGAAACTAAATTTTGTTTTTAATAGAATTTCGAAATCTGGTATCCACAGCATAATCCCTTGAGCTCTATCCTTATGGAGCCAGTACTTACAGAAATATCTCACCCTTGTGTCATGTAAATGCTTTGTAATAAGAAAACCTACTTTATGTAAACACCAGTTTTCTATTAACTAATGAAGCTCCCTCCCAGTTTCAGGCTCTTTTTATGATATAAAAAAGAATGCCAAAGAAAGTAAAAGTACCAAATGATTAAATTATGGGTGCACAGACTTAAACCAGTGGAAGTTTGTAAGTAGGACTAGTCAAACTTGTATATCCAGGAGCCTTTTATACCTAACAAGTGATTAGATAGAGTTATTTTTTTAGCAGTAACAATCTCAAGAATTTTGTCAATAAAAATCAAAAGGAGACAATAAGAGAAAGATGGAAAGAAACATGTCCTTCCCTGCTAAAGAATTGTGCTCCAGTCCAATTCCCCCCAAAATAAAGGTTTTTGTTGGGATGCTGCTAAGCAAATCTTGAACACCTGTGTTAGACTCCAAAGGAAGTGTAAAAATTGGTCCCTTTCTCCCCATGTTTGTGTAATTTGATGGAAGAATGGGGAGAGTACCAACCATATTTTTTTTGCAGTGCCCCTATGCTTCAAAGATTTGGCATCATTTTTGCTCTTCGATGGGAGAAGTGTGGATAGCACCTTCTAATGTGGTGGACCTGTTTAAGCCACACTTTTTGATATACTCTACACAAAGAAAGAAAACTTGGTGGCAGTGTATGAGAGGGGCAGTGCTTTGGGGTTTGTGGTGTGAAAGGAATGGCAGGATCTGTGAAGAAAAATACAAGGAAGTGGAGGAGATGATTGAACTTACAACTGTAAGGGCTGATCACAGGGCTCAGATCAATAAAGATATCATTGGGATAAAGGTGAATGATCTGCTAAGGGGTGGGAACTTTATTGTGGATTTTAAAAGCAGGGTACAACAAAGGGTGGTGGATTGGAGCCTACCTGGAGAAGGAAGCTACAAATCAAACTTTGATGGGCGCTATCTTGGAAATCCTGGGACTTCTGGAGTGGGAGGACCGGAGGAGTGGTCAGAGGCTCTGGTGATAATGTGATTCTCAGCTACTCGGGACTGGCTGGTTTCAGAATCTCCTTGAGGGCAGAACTGTTAGCTTTAGTTCAAGGCATTAAACCAGTAGCTCAGCAGGGTTCTTGAATATAATAATTGAAGGGAATTGCTAAACTGTCATTAGATGGATGAATTCTCAGGATCAAGTTCCTTGGCAATTTAAAATGCTGGTGAGGTTGGATTTCTCCTTGGGTACCAGATTGAACATCTCATTCATTTTTTTTGGAGAAAAAGTAATGTATTAAAAGATGCAAAAAAGATATACAAAGGAGTGCAAATATGTTAGCTGATTCTTTGGCTAGGTTGGGGGTAGGAAAAGATTGTTTGGATTGTGGTTGCCCAGGCCTGGGCTGTAACTTATAATTTTTTCCTATCTTTTTTTCTTTGGTTATCTCTGCTGTATATTTTTTTTGGGATGTAGAGGATGTGTTGTACTTGGCCACCAACTTTGGCCCAAGGCTGTCACACGCCTCCTTGTACACCACAGCCTTATCCCGACTATATGGGGTTGGCTACATGAATCTTGTTTTGCCAGTCCATTGTTTGTAATGCCATATCCATTATTAAATAATTGTTGCTTAAATCATTTCTTACTACTTCTACCCATGTCCTTTTTGGTATACCTCTTGGCCCTTGCCCATCTAGCCCCTTCAACTTTGTAACAAATCACTTCTTCTTACAGGTGATGTTGATGGTCTTCCATGCAAATAGCCATCTTAGTCTACTTTGTCTCATTTTATTACCTATTGGAGCTTCACTACAAATGAGTTCATTTTTAATCGTATCCTTTTTAGTTTTTCCACTCATCCGTCTCAACATATTGTTCTTACCCAACACCCTGCTCCATACAAAAGGAGTCTCCACTAGAATCCTTGCGAACTGGTGAAGTTTTGCTTTCTTCTTGTTCGTAGGCGAGGTTGCGATTTCTTCAGTGCTGGCGACAAAAGGAGTTTCTGTGAGAGAGCTAGGAAAGGTAGAGGATCGGTTGGAGTTCTTGAATTGATGCTTGGTAGGTAGGTTTGTTTATTCTGACCCTGATATTAGGGACGTAGAGAAGTGGGTGAGTGGTAAATGGAGACATCTAAGCTTTTCGTTAGGTGAATGGGGGTTTCTATGCTCTTATTTAGTTTCAGATGGAAAGAAGATATGGAGAAAGCCCTAGTGGGCTAGTGAGAGAAAAGTTGGGATTAAAAAAGGTAACCTGAATTTTTTCCCAACGATGGATGCCATTTTTGCGGAAGTGTTTAGGTTCTATGAGATTTGTCTGGTTAGATGTTTATGGGGTTCCATTACACGCTTGGAGCATAGAAGTGTTTAGGGCAATAGAAAATGCCTATGGAATTTTTAAGAGGTTTGACTTTAGAAATAGGAGATGGGAGAACATCTAGTTCACAATGATTCTAGTGGAGACTGAAGATTTGAATTTGATTCCTACATTGCTGGATTTGTTCTGCGTGGATGGGATTTTTCAACTAAGGATAGTTGTTGCTGGAGAGGACCCTCTATTTTGGATTTAGGATCAAAAAGCTACTAGGGAGGCTCTGAAAGAGGATGGGGTGATAGAGCTAAGGAGGTTTGGTCATTTGTGGAAGTTAAAAATTTGCAGAGGAAGGTTGATAGGGGAGGTGAAGGGTCGAGAACAATGATGGATTGTGTTGCAAATTTAGTTTTTTAAGGACTGTGGATCAAAAAGGAAAAAAAGTTAGTGAGATTGGCTTAGTTCTAATTTTTGTTTGACCCAACCCTAGGTTGTCCCTAATGCAAACCCTATGATTACTTCAATGAGTAATTTTAATAGCTATTTTAAAGGGCTAAGGATGCAAAAGATCTTAGAGCAGACAAGAGTATTACAAGGGAACTGCCTATGGTACAGGGGATTACAAGTGTTTCGTGAGAAAGTACACCTATTCAGATGAAGGCAGCCTTGAACTTGTGCAAGAATGAGAAGAGGAAGAGAGGAGCTCTCTAACGGTAAAGGTGAAAGGAGGAAACTTGCAAGTAAAAAGCGGAGGATCTAAGGCTGGACAAATCTTGTCCAGTTTTGGAGTAATCGAGGTTGGTTCTAAGTGTGACTTCGAGGCGGGAAGGGAGAAAAAGAGGTAGAGTTGGCTGGATGGAAAAAACCATGTTGCAACTTGCAAGAGGTAAGTCTTTTTGAGCACCTTTTTTTTGAAGTAGAGGGTTGAAAAGGTAGATAAAGAAATGTGACCACTTCAGGAGGGAGAAAAAGAGGTAGAGTTGGCTGGATGGCTTATGTATTTGAAATCTCTTGTTTCCTTGTAAATTGGGCAACTCTTTAGTAAAAACAATTGTAAACTTACTTCAATTTAATTAATAAAGTTTATTTGCTGATAAATAAAGAGGTAGAGTTGGATGCTTCAGTGATTTTGGATCGAGAGGGGACACTAAGTAACCTTCCAACTCTCGGGGAAGATGTGGAAGACTCATTGACCTGTGAGGAAACAGAGAAACTCTTAGATGATAGGGTTCAATCTATTTCGATTGACTTTGTAGTTGCTAAAGGAGGTGGAGATAAATAAAGGACAGGAAATAAAGGTAAATTCTCGGCTGTTTCTTTTAAAGGGGGGAGAAAAGGACCTGACATTGGATAAAGTGGTAGACTTAGAAAGAGGATAGCAGCCAAACAATTCTCAGATTTCTAGAGCGGTTTTGGAAAACTCTTCAAGATTGGAAAGGACAGAGGAAAAGTCAGAGGAGTGGCTCTACCCTTTTACAATTGTTCCTGAATCTATAAAAGGGGGTGAAGATAAAGAAAGGAGAGGAAATATACGGAAAATGCCCGGATGAATCCTGCTCCAAGGTTTATATAAGGAAGAGAACTTATCGAAGAAGACCTTTAACAGAGGAAGAAAAAAATCCAGGATGATGATGGCTCTTTTGACGAAGCTGAGAATTTAAGCGAGTCAAGTGAGGAGGAAGCTTATATTGATGAAACCCACTGTATTGACAGGGCCACTGACTTGAATAAAGTGGCTGATGTGGCAGTGGATGTAGGTAAAGCCTTGGGTTTGTTAGTGTTGGGTGGTGAATCCTTTACAAGAAAGATGTTTCAAGAGTGGGAGGAAAGCTACAAGATGCCTGTAAGGGAGAATGTTGGAGATCTTCAAGAGTATCAACTGTTATCTGATGAGGGCCATAATGACTTGAGTACAACTAGACCGGAAGAAGTCGATATTGAAAAAGATGCTGCAGTGGTTGATGTTCAATTCTTTGAGAATAACACAGATTTGGAACTGGAAAGGATCAATGAGACGCCTTCTTGTTCGCTAGAGTTCAAGAAGAATGTTTTAGCAAGTAGAAGAATGTTTTGGTTTGAAAGGTTTTCACTAGACTAAAGGGGGCATTTGGCATTTGGCAAGTCTCCCCTGAAGTTTCTAACAATCATGAAAACCTCCCCTATAGTTTAACTTTAGCAAAAACCTCCTTTCTATTTTCAAAAAAATCAACAAAACCTCCCTTTCGTCAACAACCAAGACGAAAAACGTTAAACCGATGATATTTTCAAAATACCCATTTTACCCCTTCGATTGTGGCGCATGGCACAACCATGAGTTCTCTCTTTGCGGTGGCGATCCCTTCGTTTCTAGTCCCAATCGGCTCAATCATTTCTCCGGCGAGATCCCAACATCACTTAGGAGATTACCGGTGACGGTGAGCTTCGATCTAAGGCATAACAACCTCATCGGAGAAATCCCTTAGACTGGAACGTAGACAACTGGGATGAGCCTCCTAAATAAACAAATCAATCAAAGAAACAATGGACCTAGAAATTAAAAATGTAAGAATCAAGTTAATCGGATTTGGGCTAGCAATTGGACCGACCAGAAAGCGAAACCTCATTGTCACGACATCATATACGCACTAGCAAAATGGTACCTCTGCCTTTTGCATCCGAACACACCTCACAAACGATTGATATTGAACTATTCATCAGGATATGCTCTGTGACGCTTTCGTGCTCTGTATACGGATGTGGGTTCGTGTACGTGTTCGTCATAGACATCATGATCTTCTCTCTCATCCCCTGCAGCTTCTGTATTTGGTTCTCATATTCCACGTGCCCCAACCCCAGCATCCCTTGTCCTGCGGACAGACACTCCGACATTGCAGTTTGACTATAGAATGGCAATAACATGCTAGAATCCTGTCGAGAATAATTTTCTCTAGTGGAGGTATTTTCTCATGCAGGAAATTGATTGGTCGAGGCGGTAGGTAATTATCCCCTGTCCCTCTTCTCTCCCTCCTCGACCGCTTCATCATTGTGACGAAGAAGCAATCTTTGCCTTCAAGAATTGTAGAAAAAATCTACCTTGTCGGTAATCGGAATTCTACGGCGATTTCTCGGTGATGATTTTGATGGTTTCTGATGGATGAGAGAAATGGCGATCTACTGAGGAGGGATTCCGATTTTCTAACTAAAAAAGGATTAGAAATTCTTGAACTCCATAGATGGATGCACGTTGACGTTGTCGAGATCGATTTCGTGCTCCCCATCAAAGAAGATCATCGGGAAAGAAGCGATTGTGGAATTCTCTGTCATATTTACTAGATTCCCGACTAAATTTCGTTGCTCCGCCGACGGAACTCCAGGGGCAAGGAGTTTGGACGAATAAGAAGATACGAGAGCAGTTTTTAAATTGGAGAAAGGCACGAGGTTTCCTCTTTCAAAACTGAAAATGCATGAAGAAAGTGATGCCGGGGAGAGGCTCATCACAGTTGTCTGCGTTCTAGTCTGAGGGATTTCTCCGGTGAGGTTGTTATGCCTTAGATCGAAGCTCATCGTCACCTGCAATCTCCCAAGTGATGTCGGGATCTTGTCGGACAAATGGTTGAGCCGACTGGAACTAGAAACGAAGGGATCACCGCCGTAGAGAGAGAACTCACGGTTGTGCCATGCGTCGCAGCTGGAGGGATAAAATAGGTATTTTGAAAATATTATCGGTTTAACGTTTTTCGTCTTGGTCGTTGACGAAGGGAGGTTTTTGTTGATTTTTTTGAAAATAAAAGGGAGGTTTTTGCTAAAGTTAAACTATAGGGGAGGTTTTTATGATTGTCAGAAACTTCAGGGGAGGTTTTTGTATTTTACCCTAAAGGAATTAATGAGAGAATTTGAATTAGGCGCTAAGTTCATATTTAAATTTAAATTTGCCTTGGAATAATTGACTAATTAATGAAAGAGAAATCAGATTTAATACTACGACATTAATGAGAGATTCGATATTAAATATGGATTAACGAAATTAATTATGAACCGAATGTATCGGACTGCTTTAGGCCCGTATCAGCCGATACAGATCCGAAACAGCCTGATACGGGCTGATACACATTCCGCGTATTGGGTTCTTGTCAGAATGATATGTATAGGCCGATACAGCCCGATACATTGTGATATTTTGAACCTTGGTGCAGCTAACTCCTTGAGACTTGGGAGGATTTAAGAACTATTAAATTCTACCTTTAATACTTACAAAGGGAAATTTAATTAGAAAACAAAAACAACCAGATTCCGTTTATTCACTGTAGTCATTAAGGAAATTATGGAAATTTTTACTATAGATGCTGTTCTGAACAGAACAGAATGGCAAAACAGGATTCATGTTTTTCTTCTTTTTTTTTTTTCTTTTGATAAGCAAAACGGGATTCATGTTGCTGGCTCCACATGGTTGAGACAAGGCTTAGATGATGGTGATGATGCTACTCTAATTCTAATTGTTTCTCTTAATATTTCTAAGATAGAAGCAGAATTTTATGGGTAGGCGAACATTGTTTAAATGTTTGAAACATTGGAACATTTTAACTTTAAGCGTGACTTGTGAGGTCCTGTTCTTGTATTCTGATTTGTGTACTTTGCCTTGCCAATAATGTAACCAATTGACAAGAATGATACAAAGTTTTGGCAAGTTCTCCCATGATTAGAAGTTTGAACATTATATTGTGAAGTGGATGCTGGAAAAAGGGCTCAATTCTTTATTGATCAATAATAAAAGGCCCAAACTCTTGTTTTTAATGCTCAGAAGTACACTGCCAAGTGCCATCTATTTGGGTTTGGAAAAAATAAAACAATCAGCAATTGACCTTTTTTGTTCCAGGATGTGGACGTGCTTGCTCTTCAGAATTTTTAAGAGATGCAACATTCCAATGGTGGTGATGGGAACGGTACATAGGTTTTCCTTACTCCCTTGATCTGGCATGCCTGACCCTCTCTCTCTCTTTGAAAACTGAAATGTATTGCTTGCGTCTCTGTACAGTTTCCTCCAGGTCTGGCCTTGAGAATTGAGAAGAAAAGCAGAAGGATCGAAATCTCTCTCTATTGCTTTGCAAGAGCTATTGAGAGCTTCTTCACATGCATGGCAGATGCCGGTCTTTTGCCACCGGCGACTAAGCTGAAGAGAGCCGATGTGGTTATATTCAGTTTGTCAACAGCCATCATCATGCACTGTTACGCACAAGAAAGGGAAGTTTTCCGCTCCAAGTACTTGAATGTTCTCGATTGGGTGTTTGGCGTTCCTCCCGCCATATCTGAAACTCCACGTTGCAAAAACACTTGATATGGATGAGCAATGGCCCAATGGGTGTTTTCAAGGGGGAGATTTTGATTCTTATTTTTAACATGACAAAAGAGTTCCTATTTTTGTAAGTGGTTAATCTTATGCCAGTTTTAACACCAATAAATTGAATACTGGCTCAATTTTGGCTTTCAAAATTTTAAGTGGGTTAATCTTGTTCCCTAGATATCCTGAAATCTAAGCATAGCTCTATAAACGATTTGGTATCCAGGGTTTCCCCCTGAATTGATCAATGGCAAAAAGGATCCATAGGACATCGTTCGTCAAGGTGCCATTTGGCAAGTCTTTTTTGGAAAGATCTAACAACCCAAATGGTCAAAAGGCTTATTGAGTCTTTGGGGTCTTACCTTTAAGGCCCTCTTCGTTTTTCGGTAAATTATTTACCCAGGTAAACACACTTACCTAGGTAAGTGTTTCCCAGGAAAGACTTACCCGAGTAAATGCACTTATTTGGGTAAGTGTTTCCCAGGAAATATTTACCCAGGTAAGTGCATTTATTTATATTCTTTTATTTTCCATGTAAACAAGGCAATGACCATTTTAGCCATAAAAATTCATTATTAAAAGGCATTTTTGTCTCATTAAGTGTTGGTAATTTTCCTCCCCAGTGGAAATGTTTTTTACCTACCTAGGGGATGGGTATCACTTGGTCTCCACATAAATCTAATAAAAGAACATGGGTTTCTTGGTTCCCCCTCTCAAAATCCAAAAAAAGAACGCCCCCCAAAGATCAAGGCCGTTTGATAAGTATCCTGGTCTAGCGAGCTGTTAAAGGAAAGATTTTGGACGTTTTGGGCATCTACAAGCTTTTTGGGACGTGGGTCTTCTCATCTCTTATTTGTCAAATGGAAAAAGACCAAATTTTGGTCTTTAAATATTTGAACAGCCAGCCTGAAGACCACATGGAACAGAGGTTTTCCATTTATGTAGACAACATTTGTATTGAATTCACATTGAATATTATTAATAAATTAAATTAAAAATATCAAAATATAATATATTGTTAATAAAGTGAACTAAAAAATGATTTTGATATTGTATGTCAAGAATAAAATGAAATGAACACATCTTTAAGGCTTGAATCTATTAGGGATCAGTACCTTGTACTTTGGCTCGAGTGACAATTTGGTACCTAAACTTTAAAATGCAACAATCTAGTGCCGAACTTTCAAAATGTGACAATCCAGTACCCAAACTTCAAAAATGTGACAATCCAATACCTATCGTTAACTAGTCCGTTAATTAGCCATTAAGTGACATTTGAAAAGTAAAAAATGCCCTAAAAATTTCATCTAATTCTCTTTACCAACCATCCAAACATTGACAATAAAATGAACAGTCCCAAATTATAGATTCTTCTAAACAGTCACCAACTTTTTTGAATAGAAGATGGTAATGGTAATGGTAAAGTTACCCAAAGCATATGATAGGATAGAGTGGGAATTCCTCAAACAAGTAATGGTAAAATTAAGGTTTGGAAGAATCTGGATTGATTGGATAATGGAATGTGTTTCCTTTATCTCATACAAAATCCTAATCAATGGGGTCCCCAAATAAAACTATCTACCATAGTAGAGGCCTAAGACAAGGAGACCCCCTGTCTCCCTATTTCTTCCTATTAGTCTTAGAAGTTCTCTCTTCTCAATTGAATAGGTTGGTGAATGCTCAACAACTATCAGGAATCAAAATTAATCAAGATTGTCCTGTGATCTCTCATTTATTTTTTGCAAATGACAGCTACCTCTTTTCAAAAGCTGATTCAGCTGAAGGACAAGTTCTTTTGGAAACTATCAAAAAATATGAACAAGCTTTGGGTCAACAGGTAAACTTGTCAAAATCTGAGGTTTTCATTAGTGCAAATATGCACCCCAAATTGCAAAAATTGTTAGCTAGAACTTTGGGTATGAAGAAAGTTGAACATCCTTCAATCTACATACAGACATTGGGAAATCAAAGAAAACCTTATTTGGGCACTTAGTTGAAAGAGTGGAAAGCAAGAAGAAGGTTGGCAAGATCTTCTCCTCTCTCAAGCCGGGAAGCAAACATTAATTAAATCAGTGGTTAATGCCATTCCTGCTTACTCAATGTCATGCTTTTTGATCCCCAAAACTATTTGTAACCAACTGTCTAAATTGCAAAGAGAGTTTTGGTGGAATGATAAAAAAATCAAAAAGGAAGATTTATTGGGTCAGTTGGGCCACAACCTATAGGAATAAATTGGATGGGGGAAGAGGTTTTAGGGACCTCATTTTTTTAACCTTGCTCTCTTGGCAAAACAAGCTTGGAGACTATGTATAAATGAAGAGAGCTTCTGGATAAAGGTGATTAAAGAAAGATGCTTAAAAGGGAGAAATTTTCTAAATGATCCTTTGCCCTCTAGGAGCTCTTGGGGGTGGAAGAGTGTGTTGGCTGCTAAGGGGATTATAAAGAGAGGTGCATGCTGGTTAGTAAATATTGGTTCAAATATTACAATATGGGAAGACCCTTGGCTTCCAGACATCCCAGGTTTTAGAATTCAGGGCCCAAGAACCAAAAATGAAAACATCAGGGTAATTAAAGACTTAATGACTGCTTAGGAGAGAACTTGGAATGAGAGTCTAATAAGAAACAACTTCAGTGAGGTGATAGCAAGTCATATCCTCAGAATTCCTTTAGCAATAGGTGAGTGGAAAGACATGTTAAACTGGACCTTGAGTAAAAATGAAAAATTTATAGTAAGGTCTGCATATTTCACAGCTAAACAGAGAGAGCAGGAAATTTCAAATAATCAAGTAAGCAGTAGAAAAGCAGTATCTTTCGATAAAAACCACTGGAAAGCTCTTTGGAAACTGAACATTGATCCCAAAATTAAAATTTTCTTGTGGAAATCTTGTTGGAATGCTCCAGCAGTAAAAGAAAATCTGAGGAAGAAGTTCATAGGAGATTCAGACTTATGCCCAATTTGCTAGAAAGAGAGTGAGTCAATAATTCACTTCCTTTTATTGTGTGATCATGCAAAAGCAGTCTGGTTTTGCGAGTTCTCTTAATTTGAAATCTGATACCTCAGATCTTTTGAGTCCTTTGGGACATGGTTTAAATGGTGGATTGAAGTATGCAAAAATCAAAGTGGTAAAGAAAACAATATGTTGTCTATCTCAGCAATAATCTTATGGTCAGTTTGGAAAAGCATAAATGCTTTTATATTTGAGAATGTTTCAGTTAATCATGTTGCATCTCTAATGATTATTAACAGGATGATAAATGAGAGGAGATTGACTTCCCAACAAGGATGGCAACATTATTCTCCAGTTCCTAATCAGAGGTCGAAGTCCTTTTTTTGGTCTCCCCCAAGAGCTGGAGTCCTGAAGATAAATGTTGATAGAAGTTTTGTTTCAAAAGGTAAGGCAGGTTTTGGTGTGGCTATTCGTGATCCTGAAGGTAAAGTGGTGGCAGCTCTTTTTGGCAATTGTACAGTGAGCTCACCCATTCAAGTTGAAGCTTTTGCAGCCGTACAGGCGTTAAAGACAATTTCTGTTTTTGATGGTTTCAATTTCTGCCTGGAAAGTGACTGTTTAAATTTAGTGAATGCGATCAACAAAGGTGTTTTGGAGCTGGCTTAGGATGCAGTCTTTCTAGCTAGTCCAGGACTTTTTAAATGTTATTAAGGGAAGGAAGTTTCTAGTCTCTTTTGTACATAGGGAATCAAATAGATTGGCCCATACCCTTGCTGTAAAAGGGTTAAATGAATCTGGATTGTATTTTCAGGAGCTAACCCTGGGTAGGGGTGTCCATGAAAAATCGAAAAATTGAATCAAACCGAGAAAACTGAACTGCAAAATACGGTTAATTGAATCGATCGATTCGGAATTTTTGAAAAATCGAAAGACTAGTTTGGTTTTTGATTAACTTACAAAAAAACAGATGGTTAATCGAATCGACCGATATATATTTATATGTATATTATATATATTTTTTAATATATGTCACATATTTTCTATATATTATGTATAAATATATACTTATATTATATTTATAATAATCTATTGATAAATATATTATATATTTTTAAAATATTTATAATATATTATATATCATTTATTATTTATAATATAATATTATACATATATTTATATAATATATATTATAAATATAAAAAACTAAAAAATTAAAAAATCGAACCGATCAAAAACTGAAACCAGTAGATCGGTTAATCGATGATACCGGTTCGGTTAACCGTGGACACCCCGAGCCCTGGGTGATTACAGGAGCTACCCGTGAAAGACTTTTTCTGTTCTGAAATTTAAATGCATTTTTTACCAAAAAGAAAAAATTGATGTTTGACAAACATATTAAATTTTCTAATTGAAATAATTTACTTATACATTTGGGGAGATAACTTTTGACGTCTATTTATTAGCAACAAAAGGTAACTCTTTTGTAGAACATCTTTTGCAAGGTAATATCACAAAAGGGCGGTAAAACATGAGGTGCATCCGCCGTATGGGAAAATGCGTTTGATGCATTTTTTATGACAAAACTGCCCCTCTTCCTCTTTTTTTGCAAAATGTATCGAAAACCCAAAGAAATCTCTCCGCCTTTCTCTTCCTGTTAATCGACTGAAGCTTTTGAAACCCCATTGTTCTTCTTCCTAAAGAAATGAAAAACTATAAAAAAATCTTAGTCCTCTCTCCAAAATTGAAAATAAACCCTATTATAGCCTTTATTCTTCGTATGAAACCCTGTTCATCTTTTTGTTGCTAATAAACTCCGGCAGCTGCAATCCAAGAGCTTCTTCCCAAGAAGCTCCCGATGGTGAATTTTTCGATGTTAGCCTTGCTCATGACGTAAAAACCTGCCCAGTTTTTGTTGCTCGAGACATCAGCCTTGGCCACGCGAAGGCCGGTGATGCTGCCGTAACAGCCAAGAAAGTATAGCATTACACGACCGACGTCACCGTGCAGGGCGAGCTCGCTCGCCAGGTTCCTGGTAATCTGATTTCGCTGGAGGAGACAGACGATGTGGGTGATGTACTGATATATCCTACTGGTCTCCCCCATTCCTTGATGCAGGCAAGGCTTGCTTCCAGCGCCATCTCCAGTACTGCTGGTTTGCTATTTCGAGCCTTTGCTTGATCGTTGGTGAGCCCTCTGTTGTCAGTTCTGGGTACTTGTCTAAGATCTCCTTGGAGCAGCAGCCACCGCCTGAGAGATGGTCTTGTTATTAACAGACCCATCTGCTGCCACCACAGCACCAGCTCGTAAAGCTGCACTGGGTGATTGAAGAAGCTTCCGATTTGCAGCAGAAACCCATGTCGGGAAGCCATCAGAAAGCAACCGGCGATTACCACCTTCATTAATGAACAGAGCAAAGTATATTTCCTAATTTCTAAGAACAGTCCAGAGTAGGAGGTTTTTAACGGAGAGGGTAATTTTGTCTTATGATATAAATTCAATGTATGTGTCATACGATGAATACACGTCATATATCAGATGCCTTAAAGCTGATATTTTCAAAGGATCATACCTTTGAATGACCAATCAGCATAGATCAGAATTTTATAATCCCATAATACAGGGGGAATGCATCCTAATGTGATTTATAGGAGGGAGAGGGGCTAGAATTCAAAATTCTGGGTCTTTTCGTACTTTTCCGTAAACTTTTGTAGTTAAAATGACACTTTTATACATACATTTTTCCTGGTTGAAATCACACTCACAAGTCACATCAACAAACTTGTATAGATCAAATCAAAATGCAACGGCACCGCAACGCCACGATACCGACCACCCACTTATTAGTCACTTACATTTCATTCAAACGGTGAAGAGGCCTATGACATCAGCAGCAGCAGAAAGAAATCATGCACATGCAGTTCGTGTGGTGTGCTTCCAGTTTATTCATCCTTTATCATCTTCATTTTACTCTCTCTGTCACGCAAACACTACGACCATTTCCTCTCTTTATAGTTTCAACTTTTAGGATTAAGGTTTAGGTTAGGGCTTTCCTTTTTCGGCACCGGCATCCGTGATCCGTGATGATGAACGACGCTGTTCTCCGATCTTCGCTCCTTTACCTGGGCATCATAGTACTGTTAATCGGGATATTCACTTACTCCTTCAAGAAGATGATGGTCACTTACTTCTTCGGCCTCTTCGCCATTTCTGGAGTGCTTCTTCCCGATTGGGAGTTCTTTGACCGCGATTTCTCTCAGTGGTTCTGCCCAGTAACCATCGAGCATGGAGCAGACTCCAGTTCTCCTCAGATATCCAGATCAACCGGGTAAGATTTCTCCTTTACTCTTTTAGGCCTGAGGTTCTCTACTGTTTTCGTCTCCGAACTCTTATTGATAGATCTGAACTGAAGGTTCGGTCTTTGAGAGTTCTGGAACGTGTTCTTCCTGCCTGTTCTAACTTCTAAGAATTCAGTTTTGAGTGTTCTGGAGTCGTATTGAACCCAGCAGATTCCTTTCATCAGTTTTTCGCTGATAAAGGCTCGATTTGTTTACCGTGCAAATTTCATTTGTATTAGTGTGAATGCATAGGGGTGCAAATAGGCTCTTTTAAATTTGGTTTACTTTTCTTTTAGATTTGACTGTGTTTTAGGTTAAGATTATATTTTTGGGAATGGTGTAAGAAGCAAGATGACGTGGTTCCCATATTATACAAGAGAATTGATGTATGTAGACTGTCAATGAGTGAAAAAAAATGAGAATGAGACAAAAAGTACAAATGGTACAAATTATAATTACAAACAATTTGATGCAAAATTAAACCGGGTGTAAAATTTGCATCTGATTCAGATTTACACATAAATATACTGTAAATAATAGAGTCCACATTAAGGCCTTCTGTGTTGTGTACGACTAGTGTAATTGTAGTTTTTTTTTATAAAATAGTGGAGTTGTAGGTGGTTAAAAGCATTTCTCTCTCCTGAATCTGATTTGTTTGTTAATTTGCAGCAGGTTCAAGATCTACCCATTGAGGCTGGCTTTGTATGCAATAGTTTATGGATTTGGTCTGTACAAGTGGTGGGTGTATGTATCCAACTAGCTAAGCCACTTTCCATCTCTCTCTCTCTAGACTTCATGTTTTCCATAAATTGCTAAGCTGTATTATCGTTAAGTAGTCTCTGGCAATTCTTTTTAAAGCCTTGATGGAGCTGCTTAACCGGTCATGAAACATGATCGTGAATGTCAAGTTTCAACTCTCACCCACTTGGCCACTAGTGTGCCTTTAGACAGGCACTGAGGCACATAGTGTCTGCAGTAGGGGTTTTATTTTTTTTGTTCTAAACTACAATTGATGAGTTAAAAGACTAACTAGACAACTATAAACTGTTACATAGTTAATTTATAAACTAAAATAAGATTGGTCATAACTTATAAATCAATGTCTCCACATGCTTACACATGCATTTCCCGACGGGAATCCGGTTACAACAACCAATCACAATTCCCTAGGTCAAACCACAACAGCACTGGACCTTGCTTAATAGATCAAAATTGTTTACCTTAACTAGTTACATTAGCCTCCGATTGGCTAAAGGTAACGCTGGTGGAGTTGCCGTTCAAGCGGTGAGGAAAATAATGGAGAGAGAGGTGGGGAAGTAGGAAAATAAATGGGTTATGGTGGCTTGGAAGTGAAGCCAAGTATCAGAATTATATGGTAAAGACGTCTGAAAATCAATACCTAACATTCCTAAAAAAGATCTGGATCAGGTCAAACCGTCAACCATTGCCACGCTCTACTCAGAAAGATCTTACCTGCAATGAAGTAAACTTATTCATACATCATACAAGTATATTCCACAGTCCACACACACACCAAAAATGAAAAAAAAAAAAAACGTAAAATTACAAATACTAGGAGGGAGAGAAGAAGTTAGTACAGGAAAAGATTACATCAGTCCTCCCCACGGGAAAAAATAACCATTCAAATAGAATGAAGACTTGAAACAGAAAGGTTGACCAATGCAAATGCTGCTATTATGCTACCAAAAAAGAAAATGATTTCAGTGTCAAGTATTTATTGATCAGGCTCATGTCGACTTCTCTGCTTCTTTTTCTGCTGCCTCCTCCTCTTGCAATTTCTTGAGAGATGGGGGTGGCCTGACAATAATGCTTTTCTTCCATTGCCGGTCAAGCTTCCTTGACAACCTCTTGTTGATACCCTCTTCAATCTCTCTTTCCCTTCTTACCGTAAGCATGCGGGCAATCTGTGCTTAGAGAAAGTGTTGATCCTTTAGAGGATATTTAGGTGAAAAAGATACTAATCTCATCATCATCTACGCCTGTGCCAACTATTTTGGGTCAGCTACATAAACCCTGTTTCCGCATTTCATATTTATTGTTAAATTATGTCCAATCATTTCTTATTATTTCAAATCATGTCCTTTTGGCTGTTATCTCTTCTACTCCCTCTTCAACTTTATAACAGATCAGTTTTTTTTTTTTTGTGGAAATAACTTGAGCAAGCTGGACCAGGTTTAAGATCAATCCAGGCCCAACCCTGACACCTAGGCCTAGGCTTGAGCACGGACTGAGCCCAATCTAAGCATGGACCAAACTAATTTTGATACCCAGATTGAGCTTGGGTCGGTATTAGGCTCAGGTTGGTCAGTTAGGCTCAAGTAGGCCTATTAGGCCCAAGATATTCAAAAATATTTCACACCATTAGGTAGGAATATATCTCAAGCTGGTTTAGGCTGTTTGAGTTGGATCAGGGTCAGGCTAGGATTGGACCAAGCTTGATATGGGCTCAGGCTACCCAAGAGAAGGACAGACAAGGTTCAAATTATCAGTATCTAAGAGTAGATAAATTAAGATATACATGATTATGCTAGGGAAGCTCAATTAAATCCCAAAAATACATCAATGACACTAAATCTAAAATCTACAATGGTCAAAAATAAGGTATATATACACATAACATATTTTAATGGTACCAGGATACACTTATTAAATGTTGGGAAATGGTAGAAGAATTAAAGTATGGCTTACATAGGAAGAATGACTAATTTCAATTATCAACCTTTTTTTAAATTTTCTAGTTGATATAGTATTAATAAAAAAAGTTGATAAAATGGCTTAAAAAGTTAAAATTTAAAGCATATTTTATTTTATCAAATTGTAGTAGTATATAGCCTAGTAGAAGGATTCGTTCTATTACATCTGGGTGACCTGGGTATGAGTCTTAGTACCGGCATTTATAGAATTTTTAGCAGAATGAATTAATAAAATAGTAATTGGGGAGTTTAGAGCTAATAACTTAATAAAGGAAGTTGAGTTTTTTTAATTGTTTAATGTTGGAAATTAATAACATTGGTTTTTAACAGTTACCAATGCCTTAAACCTTGGGGGAAGGGGGGGAAGAGGCTTGTAATAGTGAATCAGGATGGAGTTTTGATCTCAAAACAAATTAAATTGATCTTTGATACCAGAAGAAGGGCTCAAACCTTGAATTTAGCAGTTAATACTTAACAGTAAACCCTAACCGAGTTACCTCAAGATTTAACAGGAGATCCAAGGATAGAGGTAAACAAATATACTAGATTGTATAATGGTGACTAAACATGTGACAGAAAGGACGATAGTGACATAAAGAAGAGGAAATTGAAAATTGTCCACAGAGTGTTGCTACTGAATCAAACAAGCCCAACAATGTCCACACCTATTTTCCTTTCTTTTTTCTTTTCTAATAGTGAGCCAGAATGGAGTCCTGATCTCAAAACAAAATTAAGTAATCTTTGATACCAGAGGAGGGGTTTGAACCTTGAATCTAGCAGTTACTGAATAACAAACCTTAGGCAACTTATTCATTGTGCTCAATCTTGGTTGAGTTTAAGAGCATCAGTTGTTCTTTCAAGGGCACCATATAGAAATGCTTTATATATTCTTTGAGAGAAGTTTCATGGGAGCTGTTGAATATATGCTTATATGCAGCATCTACATTCCTAATATTAGATCTAAGTATATGTGACAGTCAGCCCTACTACCCTGTCTCTACTTGAAGAACACTTCAGAAGCCATGATCACATCAACAAGAAGGCCACCAGTGAAAGACAAAACAAGATATCTGTTTTCCAATTTGACACAGACAATTTGCAAATTTCATAGGCTAAAAAGGGGCCAGTACCCAATTTTGGTTCCAGTTATCTTGGGTCTTGCAAGGGGTGAACTGGATACATACCTAACCATTGGTGCTTTTGCAAGAAGTGATCACTCTAAAACTCAAACCCACATTCTCTTGATTATCAGCCCAAGTTTTTACCACTGCATCAAGTAAATGCCCATTTTAGTCTAGAGGCCATTGCTTGTTTCTCGACTCTTCAGTGAACTCTATTCGCAATGACAAAGCCATTGAAGATCAGCCCTACAAAAATGACATAAAAAACAGAAGGCAGCAGGTTTATTCAAACCTGAGGAGATAATGTCACTGCCTTCCCGTCCCTTATGCAGAAGAGGTTCCTGAAAGAATCGTAACAATGGCATTCTTAAATGGAACCTCAGACAAACAAATTTCAAGTATGAACCCAAAACCAAGAGCATCTTTCATCAGAAAGACTGCAAATATCATACAACATATTAATCCTCTCAGATTTTGCCAGATACTTTCCTTCTTTTTCTTTTTCATGTAAGCACCTTTAACCATCAAACACCCTTTCAGAAGGAGAGCTCACACAGTTACACCATAAGTCCGCACCCTTTACACAGTCCCTTTTTTATTCTTATTTGTTTTACTTTCTCCACCTTTTCCTTTCACTTTAGTTTTTCATAAGAGGCAGCATTCTGCTAATTAGAAAACAAAACAAAACAAAACAAAATAAGCCCACTTTCCCATTAAGAAACTGACATCCACTCAACCCCTTCCCCCAGCCGAGATAAACAATCAAGCCAAAATGAAAATTTTATGAGCAAAAAGGAAGCATCTTTTTTTCTTTTAGGCTATGTTTGGTTTGAAGGAAAAGGCAGGGAAAGGAAGGGAAAGACAGGGAAACCAATACAAGGTTTGTAAAGGTTTCCCTACCTTTCCTTTCTTTTCCCTACATTTTTTTTATCAATAACAATTTCACTAATTCACCAAAGAGGTTACATAACGAAGACAAACAAACTTATCTTCCAAGTACAATCAAGAAAACAAAAGAATGGGTAGAGACAAAAAATTACAACTTAGCCCAAAACATTGAATCCCTTTCTGCCCCTTGTGTAGCTAAACCATCAGCTAGAGAATTGGCTGATCTTTTGACCCAAGACATTTTAACTTCCATCTCCTGCACCAGCCACTTAAATTTCCTCCTCTGATTACTGTACCTCCATAAACCATTGTTTTCTACATTCAGCCACCCTATCACCACCTCTGAATCCCCTTCAATTAAGAGTTGTCTGATGTTCATCTCCTTGGCTTTCTGGACTCCTTCCATAACTGCAAAGATCTCAGCTCTAAGGGAGTCACCCACTCCAATTGGGTTTGAGAACAAGGCAAAAATGACCCCATTCTCATCCCTAAAGACACCCCCAATCCCCGATTGTCCAGGGTTCCCCCTACTACTCCCATCAAAATTTAATTTCATGAACCCAGCAGGTGGAGGTGTCCAAGACACACTCATTACTGACTTGGTCTGTGTGCACTTTGCTATTTCACCCCACTTCCTCAACATGTCATCCATTGTGTAACATGTGAATAGTTCCAAAGATTTCAGCCACTTTGCTATTTCACCCCACTGTACTTTAGTTCTTCCACCCCTCTCTCAGCCGCTAAGAATATCCTGAAGTTTCTTTCTTCCCATATTGTCCAACATATTGCAGCCCTCAAACCTCTTCACATAGTCCTTCCCCTTTTCCTACGCCACCTGAAAACAGAAGGGGAAAAAAGGCCCTGCAGATCTGATGGAGGGTTCCATCTACACCCAAAGAGGGAAAAAGCCCATTCCCAAATTGACCTCACAAAATGGCATTACACCAGTAGGTGAAAACCAGTCTCCCCATCTGCTTTACATAGAACACACCAATGGGGTGACAAGCAAGTATTGGGTTGCTTCTTTTGGAGTAGATCACCAGTGTTGAATCTTTCCAAATAGGCTTCCCAACAAAAACTACCAATCCTAGGAGGGATTTCTCTGCACCAAACCTCATCAACAGGGAAAGAGGGGGTTACAGGACTGGTGGACTGGCTTAGGACTTTGAAAAAGGAAGCACAAGAAAAGAAGCCAGTGGGGGTAGGGGTCCAAATTCTAGAATCCGCCCTTGTGGGGACTAAGACAACATTATCAAGAAGTTCAAGAAGGCTCAAAATATTAGCAAAGTCTGAATCCCTCAAGGCCCTTCTGAGACCCAAATTCCACCCAAGCCNTAAGACAACATTATCAAGAAGTTCAAGAAGGCTCAAAATATTAGCAAAGTCTGAATCCCTCAAGGCCCTTCTGAGACCCAAATTCCACCCAAGCCTAGAATTGGAAGAGGACGGAGTAATGAAGGATGAAACTGGCTCATTTTTAAGATCAGGTAGAGCATACAAAGAAGGAAACCGATCCTTTAGAGGGGCATTCCCCACCCAAGTTTGTTCCAAGAATTTTATGGAGTTACCGGAATCCAGATTATACCTGATATTGGGGGAGAATACTGGAAGCAGATCGTGAATGGCTTTCCAAGTAAAAAAGCTTGTGGTCCTAGCTTTGATTCCAGCATCCCAACCATTGTGCTCCA